TTTCTTTAAGTTCTTGAGAAATGTGACCTGACGTTTTTCAAGGTGTGTACACTCGTCATTTGCCTCATATTTCAAATTTTAATAACATTTATGAAATTATTGAGATTTTTCGTTTTTGAAATTGAATATTTTTGAATTTTTCAAGTTTTTGGGGGTTAAATTGTGACATTTTTGACTTTTTTAACATTCTAAAATACAAATAACTTTGTACTCGATGTTTTTGATGTTCTACCATAATTGAGATTTTTAAATTTTTTGAAATTTTTACTTCCTTCTATTTTCAAGTTTACAACTTTACTGATGATTTGACGTTTTGGACTTTTTTGAAAATATTAATATTCCACTTTTCCACGTTTTTGGTTTTCAAAATTGTATGGTTAAAATTTATGAAATTTTTGACTTTTTTTTGATATTTTGTAGTCAGTTTTCACGTTTTACAATTTCTTTAAGTTCTTCAGAAGTATGTTTTTTTTTTACGTTTTCAATATTTTTAAAGTGTGTACACTGATGATTTGCTTGACATATTTTCTATTTTGAAGATGGACATTTTGGAATTTTTGAAATTTTTTGGGGTTAAATTTTGACATTTTTGACTTTTTAACATTTTAAAATACAAGTAACTTTGTTCTCGATGTTTTTGATGTGTACCATATTTGAGATTTTTGAAATTTTTTGAAATTTTTACTTCCTTCTATTTCCAAGGTTACAGCTTTACTGATAGTTCGACGTTTTGGGCTTTGTTGATATTTTTGACCTGTTTGAATTTTGAGCCGTTCGAGTTTCGAAACTTTTTGATTTTTTAAAGTTTTAAAAATTTTGGCGTTTTAGATTTTTTGATTTTTCACTTCTCAACGTTTTTGGTTTTTTCAAATTTTTATGCTTGGAATTTTTTTTTTAGATTTTTGAGATTTTTTAAAGTTTCGAAATTTTTATTTCCTTCCATTTTTCAGAATTTCTGCTCTTCTGATGGTTTGACATTTTGTCTTTTTTGATATTTCTGACTTCACTGAATTTGAGACGTTGGGGCTTCCAATGTTTTTGATTTTTTTGGTTTTTGAAAATTTTGACATTCTAGATCTTTTTGAAAATGTCCATATTCCACTTTCTCAATATTTTTGGTTTTGTCAAAACTTTTTCGCTTATTCAATAGACGACAGGTTTTTTCTTTCGAAATTTTTGACTTTTTTTCTATATTTTGTAGTCAATTTTCACGTTTTCAATTTTTTTAAGCATTTGGGAAGTCTAATTTTTTTTTAATTTTTGACGTTTTCAATATTTTCAAAGTGTGTATACTCATGATTTGCTTGACATTTTTGACATCGTAGCATGGTCTACATTTCAATAACATTTATGATATTCTTGACATATTTTCTATTTTGAAAATGGACATTTTGGAATTTTTGAAGTTTCTTGGGTTTAAATTTTGACATTTTTGACTTTTTTAACGTTTCAAAATACAAATAACTTTGTTCTCGACGTTTGTGATGTTCTACCATATTTGAGATTTTTACATTTTTTGAAATTTTTACTTTCTTCTATTTTCAAGTTTACAGCTTTACTGATAGTTCGACGTTTTGGGCTTAGTCGATATTTTTGTTCTCACTGAATTTAGAGGCGTTCGAGTTTTGAATGTTTTTGATTTTTTTACTTTTTAATAATTTTGACGTTTTACATTTTTTTGAAAATATTTATATTTTATCTTCAATAGATGACACACGTTTTGTTCATGGATATTTTTGACTTTTTTTTTTGATAATTTGTATTTTGTAGTCAATTTTCACGTTTTCAATTTTTTTGAGATCTTAAGAAGTGTATTATTTTTTATTTTTTGTGTGTACACTCTTGATTTCCTTGACATTTTTGACATCGTGGCACGTTTTACATTTTAATAACATTTATGACATTATTGACAAATTTTCGATTTTGGAAATATACATTTCGGAATTTTTGTAGTTTTTTGGCGTTGAATTTTGACAATTTTGACTTTTTTAACTTTTCAAAATACAAAAAACTTTGTTTTTGAGATTTTTAAAATTTTTGAAATTTCTGCTTTTTTCAATTTTCAAGGTTTTAGCTTTTCTGATAATTTGACGTTTTGACTTTTTGTGAAATTTTTGACGTCGGGTTTTCAATGTTTCTGATTGTTTACGTTTTAAAAATTTTAACGGTCTAGATTTTTTTGAAATTTTTTATATTCCACTTCTCAAAGTTATTGTTTTTTTTTTCAAATTTTTATGATTTAAATTGACATTTTTTACGCTTTTTGATGACACGTTTTGTCCTTCGAAACTTTTGACTTTTTTTTATATTTTGTAGTCAATTGTCACGTTTTCGATTTTTTAAGTTCTTGAGAAATTTGATCTTTTAAATTTTTGACATTTTCAACATTTTATACATTTTTGGTTTGTTTAAACATTTTTGACATTGTGGCATGTTTTACGTTTTAAATGCATTTGTGAAATTGTTGACATTTTTTCGATTTTGAAAATAACATTTTGGAATTTTTGAAGTTTTTATGTAGTTAAATTTTGAGATTTTTGTCTTTTTAACATTTTTAAAATTCGTATAACATTGTTCTCTCGACGTTTTTGATGTTTTACCATATTTGAGATTTTTGAATTTTTTGAAATTTTTACTCCCTTCATTCTCAAGACTTAAGATTTCAGCTTTTCTGATGGCTTGACGTTTTGGGCTTTTTTGATATTTTTGACCTCACTGCATTTTGAGGCGTTCGACTACTCAGTTTTTTTTTATTTTTTTACGTTTTAAATTTTTTTGAAAATATTTATATTCCACGTTCTCAACATTTCTGGCATTTCAAGTTTTTATTATGTTTTTCTGAATATGTGATGCTTTTTTCCCTTTGGTCCTTCGAAATTTTTGACTTTTTTTTGTATTCATCTAGTTGAAATTGACGTTTTCGAATTTTGGTAGTTTTTGAAAGTATTTTTTTTTTGTTTTTGATGTTTACAATACCTTCAAATCGTGTACTGCCCTTGGTGTACTTGACATTTTAGGCATGAAGTGGCATATTTTATATTTTAATAACATCTGTGCAATAATTGACATTTTTCCGTTTTTCAAAATTTTGAAACATTCAATTTTGACGTTTTCGAATTTTTCAAGTAATTGAAGGGTTTAATTCGGGCATTTTTCATGTTTGGTGCTTTTTAAAATGCAAACAATTTTGTTCTCAACGTTTTTAATCATTCACCATATTTGAGATTTTTTAAAGTTTCGAAATTTTTATTTCCTTCAATTTTTCAGAATTTCTGCTCTTCTGATGGTTTGATATTTTGGCTTTTTTTGATTTTTCTGACTTCACTGAATTTTGAGACGTTGGCGCTTTCAATGTTTTAGATTTTTTTGTTTTTTGAAAATTTTGACATTCTAGATCTTTTTGAAAATGTTCATATTCCACGTTCTCAATATTTTTGGTGTTGTCAAGTTGAAATTGATGCTATTTTTTACGCTTTTCAAGTATATCATGTCTTTATTCCATCTGCCTGGCAGTTTAAAACATTTATCGATTTTTTTGATTGATTTTTGAACTTTGGTTTGACATTTTCCACATCACAGTATTTTACATCCGTCATATTTTGAACGATTTGAATTTTTTGGCGTTTTTATCATTCCACGTAGTGATTTTTATTTGCTTATCTTAATACTTACCAATATCAGTATTTTTTTTTTATTTTCGCTGTATTTCCATTTTTGAGATCTAATCATTTGACATTTAAAAAAATAAAAGGTTTTTTGTGTATTTTACTTTTTTGGAAGTTTTTTGTGTTGACATTTTTTTATTCTGTTTTTATATTTAATTTTAGGTGTTTGTGCCGATGTTGCAGGGTTTTCTTAATTAAATTATTTGATATTTTTAACTTATTGAACTTCTGAATTTTATCTTTTCGTAATCTTCCAAGGAACCTTTTTAACAGTGATTGACATCCGACAACAAAAAACCCCGATCAATGTGCCTGAAATTAGCTACCTTGTGGTCAACCCTCATCCTCCGACTCTTCATGCTTTGACAGAAATTCGGCTTGACAATTACCCACAACTAAAACTGCCAATATTACTTGTCCACCGAACGACTTTCCACCGCATTTGAGACTTGGAAGAGACTTCAAAGACTTCAAAAGTTCCAATTACCGTTACTCTAACGAAAAAGCGCACTCTCTCAACCGCCAACTCTACACACGCACACCCTTTTTTCCGTTTCGGCTCTTCGGCTGGCACTCCGTCGATAAGTTCCTCATTTTAGGATCCCATAAACGATTTTTCCATCGATTCGCTACATTCCTTAGACGGTATTCTATTAAATGCGTTTGTGTTTGGCCACAATTTAATTCAACCGTCGTTTCGTTCGACACTAACGTGTCTTTGAAGACCGCTGGAATTTAATATGTAGCAGGTGGCACCATTAAGTATGCGATACATGTACTCGGTCACTGTTTGCAAATACTTAGGCACATCCATTACGTCTTTATATACCCAATATTGTCGCGAAAATCGACTCGAGGTTATTTCCCGTGTGGTGCTTGGGTCGTGGGAAGAGTGGAAATGGTCGAAGTTCTGGAATTTTGAAATTTTTTCGTTCGTTATGTCGAGGAAAACCGCAATTAGCTTAATATAAAGCAGCGCCGGTACCAAGTTGGTACACTTCCAAATATTAATAAAACCAACTTATTACTTGTTGCCATAAATGTTTAGCTTCTGAGGTGTATAATTATGCCAATACTTAACATTCTATTTCATAGAAGTCATCAACGCGGGCTTAACTATTACTACTTTTCCTATTATCTTTTATTGCAGAACTGAAGTGTTACGCAAGCACTAAATTTTTTATTCATGGCTATATTGGGCTTAATTTTATTTAAGTACGTAGCTGAAATGCCATGATTCGCTTTTAGTGCCAAGAGTAGGTTTAATGTGGCCATAATTCACTAATTAGAGATTCTTGAGAACCTTAAATTAATAGATTTTTTCTGCTTTTGCAGATATACCGACCCAGGTGCCGCCCCTGACGCCTGGCACCAACAAGACCATGGCCGAGGCGCTGAAGGCGTCTTTCGCATCGTGGGAAAAGGAACAAGTCCGATTGAACATAACCAAAGGTAAAACACCCATATGGGTCTATTAAAACGACACACTCTGAGCTAACTGTTTTGATGTTTTTGCGATTTTTGTTCTAGATTTTTTTTTTTTTTTCGATTTACATTTTAGGCTTTTGCCATTTTTACGGGTTTGGTATTATTTGGTGCTTTCGACGTTTCAAAAGTTTACGTTTCTGGAGTGATTTTGGTTCTTTGGGGATTTTTAATTTTTCACAGTTTTTGATATCTGCATTTTCTCTGTCAGTTCTTTTCAGGCCTTGGTTTTTATTTTTGTAACTTTTTTCATTCTTTTTCCATATTTTTACTTACCGAGCGTAAGCGAAATGTGCACAATATGATGATTCTATACTTGTGATTTAATATTTTTTAGATTTTCTTATCTCAAAAAAATGAATGACTGAGAATAAATTATATTGGTTAAATAAAAAATTGCAAAACTGAATACCTTGAAATCTTGCAGACGTTTTAAATTTATTGTAAGCATGTAACCGATTATACTTGTTTATTGCCCCCCAACAAATTGATGACGTCATCTAAAAAATTTTGCGGAATAAATTCTACCCAAAATGTGCAAAATATGATGAGTTTTTACTTGTGATTTATCATTGCATTCATATTTTTTATTTTTAGTCTTATCTTAGCAAGGACCAGCCCCGCCCACCCGCCCACTATTTTCTTAGAACATATGGAATTTGCCAAAATCAGTTTTACCTTAGCAAGTACTAGCCCCGCCCACCCGCCCCCTATTTTCTCAGAGGATTATATCATTTGCCAAAATCAGTCTTATCTTAGCAAATACTAGCATTTTGGCAAATGACAGACGTTTTAAGAAAATAGAGGGCGGGTGGGCGGGGCTAGTACTTGCTAAGACAGGACTTATTTTGGCAAACATACGTTCTGAGAACATAGGGGGTGGGTGGGCGGGGCTAGTATTTGCTAAGATAAGACTTATTTTTGCAAATAACATACCTTCTGAGAAAATAGGGGCGGGTGGGCGGGGTTAGTACTTGCTAAGATAAGACTGATTTTACCTCTATTAATCTTGTAAAAACTTGTTAAATTTAAAAGGTGTTCATAGTAACGAGTTAAATACCTAAATCGGATTCTATTTCCAGAGCGAGGGAAGTTCTGCTGAAACAACTTTTCTCACTTGTAATAATAAAAACGTATCTGAATTTGAAGTATGTGACATTTTTTGCATTTTTTACATTTTCGAAAAGTTTCATATTTTTCACTTTTCTCATTGGCGTTTTAAGTGTTTATAATGTTTATATGTACGTTTTTTTACATATTTGACGCTGACAACATTTTCAGCCGTAGACATTTCTGTATTTTTTTACATTATTTCAATTTTTTTTTTTACTTTTTTGACATTTTAAAGGACAAATGACCTTCTTTTCCGGACGGTTTTGTTGTTTTACTGTACATATTTGAGTTTTTTTTTTAATTAATTTTTTACTTTCTTCTATTTTCAAGGTTTGATTGATGTTTTGGGCCTTCTGAATATTTTTGACCTCGCTGAATTTTGAAACGTTTGAGTTTTCAATAGTTTTCAGTTTTTTACATTTTGAAAATTTTTACGGTTTAGATTTTTTCGAAATTATTCATATTCCATGTTTACAACATTTTTGGAGTTTTCAAGTTTCTATTATTAAAAATGATGACGTTTTTGTGTTCATCTATTCAAAATTGACGTTTTCGAATTTTGTAGTTTTTGGAAGATTTTTTGTCTTTTTAACGTTTTCAATATTTTCTGGTTTGCTTGACATTTTTGGCTTGAACTGGCATGTTTTATATTTTAGTAGCATTTGTGAAATTATTGACAGTTTCCCGTTTTTGAAAATATTGAAGGATTTAGTTTTGACATTTTTGATGGTTTTTACTTTCCAAAATACGAACAACTTTTCTCTCAACGTTTTTACTGTTTCACCATCTTTGAGATTTTTAAAAATTTTCAAAATTTTTCTTCGACTTTCAGGTTTCAGCTTTTCTGATCGTTCGAGGTTTTAGCCTTTTTTTGATATTTTTGACTTCATTGAATTCTGGGACGTTGACGCTTTCAATGTTTTTGATTTTTTTTTACTTTATGAAACATTTTTGGTTTTGTCAAATTTTTATTGTTTAAAAATTGATGTAATTTTTTACGCTTTACAAATTTTTAAGGTTTTTTTTTTATATTTATGCAGGAAATTTTTTCATTTTTGGATTTTTGAAAAAGTTTCTTCACTTTTCTCATTGGCGTTTTAAAAGTGTTTAGATGTGGATTTTTTACATTTTTGACACTTTCAACATTTTTTAAAGAACTCTTTGACCCCCTAGACATTTTTTGACATTATTTCTAAAATTGTTTTCGGTTTAATTTTCGAGATTTTTGACATTTTTGTGGGTTTCGGATGTTTTTGTGCTTTTGACGTTTAAAATTTAGTAACGTTTCTGAAATGATTTTGCTCTATCGGGATTTTCAAATTTTTGTGTTTTTTTTTTGGAATTTTCAGTTTCCATTTTTGACGTTTTTGGCATTTCTGACATTTTTCCGTATTTGGTATTTTTGGTGCTTTCGACGTTTCAAAAGTTTACGTTTCTGGACTGATTTCGGTTCTTGGGGGATTTTTAATTTTTGAGGTTTTTTGACATTTTCTAATTTCCACAACGGCAACAGGTTTTTTTTTGAAATTTCGATTTTCTTTTTTGAGGTTTTTGGCATTTCTGACTTTTTTGTGAGATTAGTATTTTTGGTGCTTTCGACATTTTAAAAGTTTGTAACATTTCTGGAATTTTCAAAATTCTTCCTCAGTCTTAATAATAGAACTCGACAACACCAAAAATGTTGTAAACGTGGTAATTTGAAAACTTTGACTTTTTTGTATTCATCTATTCAAATTGGCGTTTTCGCATTTTTGTAGTTTTTGGTAGATTTTTTTGTCATTTTAACGTTTTCAACATTTTCAAATTGTGTACAGCTCTTAGTGTGCTTGGCATTTTTGGCGTGAACTGGCATGTTTTATATTTTAGTAGCATTTGTGAAATTATTGACATTTTATCGTTTTTGAAAATATTGACGGGTTTAGTTTTGACATTTTTGATGGTTTTTACTTTCCAAAATACGAACAACTTTTCTCTCAACGTTTTTACTGTTTCACCGTATTTGAGATTTTTAAAAATTCTCAATATTTTACTTCTACTTTTAAGATTTTAGCTTTTCTGATCGGTCCGGGTTTTGGCCTTTTTTTTGATATTTTTGACTTCACTGAATTCTGGGACGTCGGCGCTTTCATTGTTTTTCATTTTTTTACTTTATGAAACATTTTTGGTTTTGTCAAATTTTTATTGTTTAAATTGATTTCAGTTTTTACGCTTTACAAATTTTTAAGTTTTTTTTTTTTATATATTTATGCAGAAATTTTTTTCATTTTTGGATTTTTGGAAGGTTTCTTCACTTTTCTCATTGGCGGTTTAAAAGTGTTTAGATGTGGGTTTTTTTACATTTTTGACACTTTCAACATTTTTTAAAGAACTCTTTGAATCCCTAGAGATTTTAGAATTTTTTGACATTATTTCTAAAATTGTTTCCGGTTTAAATTTTCGAGGTTTTTGACTTTTTTGTGGGTTTCGGATTTTTTGTGACTTTGACATTTTAAATTTAGTACCGTTTCTGGAATGATTTCGCTCAATAGGGATTTTCAAATTTTTGTTTTTTTTTTGGAATTTTCAGTTTTCATTTTTGACGTTTTTGACATTTCCGACATTTTTCCGGATTTGGTATTTTTGGCGCTTTCGAAGTTTTAAAAGTTTACGTTTCTGGAGTGATTTCGGTTCTTGGGGGATTTTTAATTTTTGAGGTTTTTTGACATCGCATTTTGAGGTTTTTTAGCGTTTTCTACTTTCCACAACGGCAATAGTTTTTTTTTTTGAAATTTCGATTTTCCTTTTTGAGGTTTTTGGTATTTCTGACATTTTGGTGAGATTGGTATTTTTGGTGCTTTCAACATTTTGAAAATATTGATACATTCAGTTTTGACGGTTTTGAGTTTTTGAAGTTATTGAAGGGTTTAGTTTGGACATTTTTACTTTTCAAAATGCGAACAACTTTCACCATATTTGAGATTTTTGAAATTTTCCAAAATTTTACTTCAACTTTTAAGATTTCAGCTTTTCTGATGGTTTGACGTTTTGGCCTTTTTTTAATATTTTTGTTTGACTTCACTGAATTCTGCTTTTGATTTTGTACTTTATGAAAATTTTGACATTCTTTTTGAAAATGTTCATCTCTTTGACTTTTCTCATTGGCGGTTTAAAAGTGTTTAGATGTAGATTTGTTTATATTTTCGACACTTTCAACATTTTTTAAAGGCAACTCTTTGTGAACCCCTAGACATTTTTGTAATTTTTGACATTATTTCTAGAATTTTTTTCGGTTTAAATTTTCGAGGTTTTTGACATTTTTGTGGGTTTGGCATTTTTTGTGCTTTTGACGTTTAAAAGTTTGTAACGTTTCTGGAATAATTTTGGCTCTGGGGATTTTCAAATTTTTGAGGTTTTTTTTTTGGAATTTTCATTTTCCATTTTTGACGTTTTTGGCATTTCTGGAATTTTTCCGGATTTGGTATTTTTGATGTTTTCAACATTTTTTCCCACATTCCTCGATGTTGATACTTTTCACGTCTTGGATTTTGTTTTCCAACTTAATTTTTAATTTCGACATTTCAAAATTTTTGACTTTTTTGTTTCTGAAAGGTTTCGTATTGGGTTTCCATCATTTTTGAAATAGTAAGGCTTTTAAAATTCTGAAGATGTTTTACATCTTTTTGCATATTTTCTCACTTTTAATATAAAAAAAAGGTATTTTAATTTTGAAGTATCTGACGCTTTTTTACATTTTTGAAAAGTTTCATGCTTTTCACGTTTCTCTTTGACGTTTTAAAAGTGTTTGGAAATTTTTGAAACATACCTCAAAAAATCCCTAGACATTTTTGGATTTTTTGACATTTTCAATAGTTTTC